TTGGTCAAACCAAGGTCTAGCAAGGCAGAAGAACCCTTAGCATCTTGTTGCAGAGATGGAATAGAACCTTATCCCTCTGAAGCTGGTGTTTGCAGAATGTGGCCCCAGCAGTTCGCTTTGGGTCCCAGATGGCATATCTAGGATTTAACCATGATCTTTTGGGTCTCAAACTGTTTTCTCTGTTCTCTGACACACATGCATCTATGCCTCACTTTCCTGTTTCTCTCTGGTAATGTTTCAACCTCACAGAGGTATCGAGAAGTTTAATTAGCTCCAGGCAAAGCCCTTTGAGATCCTCAGATAAGAGATGCTATAGAAGCACAAAGTATTAATTTAATTTTATTAAAATAATTTGTTAGTGGATGGTGAGCAGAGGGTTAGAGTTAGCTGTATTTATTCTTAATGGGAGATGAGGAGGAAATAACATTCCTCATGGTTCAGCGGTAGGACCAGTTTCTTAGTGTTTGTACTAATGATTTGGACAGATGCAGGACACTTGTAATTATTAAAGAATAGCAGGTGTTATTAAGACGTACAGAGAAGTGCTGTGTCTACACCATAATCTTATGCAAATAAGTTCAGGAGTGGAATGTGCTCTTTTAGGTGTCTTAAATGTAATGTGATGCCACTGGGTGGGAGTTACGCACCGGTTAATTATAGCATGAATAGCACTGAATTAGGTTATATGGCAGTGGAAAGTGATCTCGGCATATTGACAGACCCAGCATGTTAGACTTACTGATATTTTATTAAAGTGAAACAGTTATTGGCAGTATAATGTATTATTTCTGCATAAGCCATAATAGACACACCAGATGAGTGTGCAGGAGAGTCCTAACAATCTCCCAGGGCCCAAACTATACGCTGACTCTCAACAGAGACAACAGAAATGATTAGTTGGGGTTGGGATATTTCATTTTCACACTCCACTTGCCATGTGCAGGCAGCTGCCTTCCAGGTGACCACTTCTCTAAGGCAGGAACATGTGTCTGGAAGTACTTATTTATTAAAAGTCCCATTTGTCTTTATTTATAATTTGCTGAACTTACTTTTTGGGCTGCAATGTCCCCTCTGGACATCTGCCGTCGGTGGCTGGGTTCTTTGCCATGTTTCTTTCTGTGTTTCAGCCAACACCATTCAGGGATTTGAGAGGTTGATGATGGAGGGCAATACTTTGCACAGGCTGAAACAATTTTCTCTGCTGTTTCGCCCCACTTTTGGAGGAGGGCAGAACATTTTTGGAGTGCAGAGGAGGACTGAAGGGACATGGTTATTTTATGTCTGTACTTTTTTCTGCTCCCCTGAAAATCTACCACATTTTTACCTCTGAAGAGCCTCAGTTGCAGCTGCTGGGCAGACACCTGTGAGAGTGTGGCGTGTGAACCCACGGGATGCTCCATGTGTTCCAGCTCAGGACAGATAAAGTGGTCAAGAAAGAGGAGATGGAGGAAACCAAAAGTTTGTAGAGAAGAACCTCCATCACTCCTTTCGTGGAATCATAGGATGGATTGGGTTGGAAAGGACCTTAAAGATCATCTAGTTCCAACCCTCCTGCTGTAGACAGGGTTGCCGACCACTAGAACAGGCTGCCCAGGGCCCCATCCAATCTGGCCTTGAATGCCTCCAGGGATGGGGCATCCAGAACTTATCTGGGCAACCAGTACCAATAACTCAGTGTTCTGCATGGACAAACTTGCAAAACCTATTGACAAGCAGCTCCATCCCTTTAGTCTTGATTTATGTATCAGCTGGGATCAGTTACCTGGGATAGATTATGCTGCTAGCTCAAGGAAGGGCTCTGTGATGTTGAATCAAGAGCCTGAACCCTGCCAGTGACCCAGGTCAGTTTGGTTCTGCTGGAAAGAGATCCCCCACCATCAGACTCAAGGACAAGGCACAGCTGAGTGTTTTGGGATTTTTTTCCTTCCTTTATTTTAAATTGATAAATTGTATTGAAAAAGTCAGACAGTCAAAGTCAAAAGTTAGGAAGTGGCAGAATTGAGGTCACCCATGGAAAAAAGGAATAATAATGTGTGATCTTGTAATTAAAGTCTAGCTTGCAGAGTGTCAGTGCAGGGAGCAGGTTTAGGAGTGCAGAAGCTACTTTCAATCTGGCATTACCTAATTCCCGAGAGCCTGCCACTGCAACCTTAACATTATATTAAAACCAGGCTTAGTTTGGTTTGGATTTTCATCATTTCATTATTTGAATGACAACACACCTTGCAACAGATATTAAGGCTGCAAGACACACCAGTCTAATACAGAGTGAGTTTTTGGTCTGAAGAGTTACATGCCTTAAATGTGTATGACCAGTAAACGACAAGATAAAATGCTGATTATTATATTCCTGCTCAGTGATGGGGCTGGGAATGACAATCACATTCTTGGATGCTTAACCTATACCCATGTGTCGTCCTCCTGGGCAAATGTGCTGGATGTGGTTTCAACCTACTGTGCTAACTTCCTTGGGCAACCTATAGGTTGCCCAAGGAAGTTGTGGATGCCCCCTCCCTGGAAGTGTTCAGGGCCAGGTTGGATGAGGCTTTGAGCAACGTGGTCTAGTGGAAGGTGTCCCTGCTGATGGCAGGGGGGTTGGAACTGGATGAGCTTTAAGGTCCCTTCCAACCCAAACCATTCTATGATTCTATGAATCTATGATTTTATTACACTTGAGTGGAGCCTGGGTATCCACCTGTTTAATTTTAGGCATTTCTGTTGTGTTGCAGCTGAGAGGTAACGGGACATCTTGAAGAATCTGGGCACTTGTGTTTTGACACTGAGCCCAAAAGGGTTTCCTTCCAAACTATTCCCAGGAGAGGAGTTCCCATGCCCTGCAGATCATTGATGGGATTGCTGTGTCTATTTGTTTTATAGAAGTACTTACAAAAATCTCAGGTCAGCATTTTGCCGTGGCTTTCATTCCGTGATAGGGGACTTACAGTTTTGGGAGTAGTTTATCAGCTATCCATCCAACCCTCTGGAGACTGCACGTTTAAAATTCCTGATCCAGCATGAGGCAGCGCTAAAGGAGACTTAATGGGATGAAGGCTCCTAGGGAACGGAGAGTGGGAGCTGCAATGTTGCTCTTGCTCTCTCAAATCTGCAAAGCAAACCGAGAGAGTGCTGAGAATGGCAGAGATCTCCCTTTACAGAATCACAAAATCACAGAATATAATTACTACCGCAGGAAATACAAAATATTCCTCTGCCAGAAAGATGGAGAAATTTGAGTTTGAAATTGAGGTGCTCATTTTATCTAGTGCCAATCAAATCACTAGAGAGAAACCAACCCCTAAAGTTTTAGCCCAGATCCCAAGCTTTGTAACAATCAGGATCAACCATATATCGGGTTTTGTGTGTGTTGCCTTAGATCCCTGTCTGCAAATACCCATGCAGAAAGGCACAATCTCTACTCCAGGGAGCAAGGACGTTGAAGGGTGATCTTGGAGCTAACCCTCCAGCATCCCCTGCGTTCTTTCACAACTAAGACTCTGAAGTCTGGGAGTGGGTGAATAATTTAACATCCTCACTTAGTCTTTATAGCTGATTTTAATGGGGGGTAATAGCAGTGCTAATAACAAAATCCATTGAAGCCACCCTGTGCAAGTCCATAACATTAGCTTAATGGCAAAAGGTAATTGGCATGCAGTTGGAGATGTCCTTTTGTATTAACCCTGTGGATTTCTACCAGACATCTTCCTTGAAGCGATGGTCTTGGCAGCACACATAGAGTAAAATAGAGATTTGTTTTATGCTAAGCAAATGTAAATCTGGATTGAAACAAGGTGCACGGCTACCAATTCGCATTGCTGGCTTGTGTTTACACTGGATGGATGAGATGAGATAGTGACAGTGCTGAAAGCACTGACAACAATTAGAGTGTGGTGTAAGCTCTGTAGGCTTGTGCAGGCCAGGTGCCATGCACTCACTAATTTCACTGAATTCTCACTCATTGGGAGCACCAGAAATTTTAAGATTCAGCCCTGGGAATCTCTAGTCAGGGATCTTCTAGAGAGAGTCCAGCGAAGGCCACAAAGATGATGAGGGACCTGGAGCACCTTCCATGCAAGGAAAGGCTAAGAGAGCTGGGACTCTTCAGCCTGGAGAAGAGAAGACTGAGAGGGGATCTTATCAATACCTATAAATACCTGAAGTGCGGGGGCCAAATGGATGGGGCCGGGCTCTTTCTGGTGGTGCACAGTGAAAGGACAAGAGGCAGTGGGCAAAAACTGGAACACCAGAAGTTCCACACAAACTTAAGGAAAAACTTCTTTACTGTAAGGGTGTTGGAGCACTTGAACAGACTGCCCAGAAAGGTTGTGGAGTCTCCATCTCTGGAGATGTTCAAAATCCACCTGGACACTTTCCTGTGCAACCTAGTGTAGGGAACCTGCTTTGGCAGGGGGGTTGGACCAGATGATCTCCTGAGGTCCCTTCCAACCCGTGATTCTGCGATATTCAAACTCTCGATCTGCCTAGGACTACTTAGCAGCTGCTAGGAATGGATTGGCAGGCTGCCCCTACACATCAGGGAGGAATCAGCAGCTCAGAAGTACCACAGTTTTTAAATCTCCTCAGCAGGACCAAAGAGCATGGACTAGACACAGCTACTCTGAAAGGACATCCCTGCATAAAGTGTCCCACTGTCCTTGGACAGGACAGTTTTCAGGGTTACCAGGGTAAGGTTACACTGTATCTGCTATGTGGGTAGAAAGAAAGAGCATCTCTAGAGCTTGTGCATCCTATCTAAGGGATGGGGCTTTCACCCAACACCCTCTTTTCATGCTGCCCTTGCAACTCTCCAACCTGCTGAGTAACACCATAGCTGCTAGCTTTGGTGGCAGAGTGCTCCAGGGCATGGGTGTGGTTTTCCAATTATTGTGGTACAATGTTGACTTTCCATCCAACATGATTTCTCCTTCCATGTCCCAGGGTTGTCCTCACCTTCTCAGACTGGCTTTGTGTTAACTCTGTCCTCCCTGTTCCCATTTGCTCAGGTGCACAAGGAAGGAACGATGTGAACGCTCCAGTGAGCCTCGGAGATTCGCCTCGGAGATGAAGCAATGTGTCCGGCTTACTGTGCATCCCAACAACATCTCTGTCTCCCAGTACAACGTATTGGTGAGGAACTTTAATCCTTGTCTCCCTCAGGTTTAATCTGCCCATATAATCTGACAGACCTGGGTATGTGCAACGTGAATTAAACAGGAGTGGGAAGGACTGGTAGCTCCATGCATGAGGAGTCTATTAACTTTCCCAGAAACTTCCCTGTCAGAGAAAGATTCACCATGGGAGGATATTTTGGCCTTGGTTATCCACTTCTAGAAGTGTGGAAGAGGTTCCCTGTTTGCTGTGAGGAGTTGAAGGCAGGTCTGAAGGGATTTGGTGCCATGCAAGTATTGTGTGCATACAGTGTAGTTGTTTACTTCCTTGGGAGAGGGTTTTGTGTATGGCTGGGCAAGGGACATTATCATGAAATAATGAAATTACCTTCTAGGATTAGGATAAGTGAGGGATACCATGTGTTGTTTCAATAACCTTCAATTTTCTATCATCTTGGCTGGAAGTGTGTCTTTCTTAAGCCACCGAGAACTTCACCCTGCTGCAGCTCCAGCACTGAGTGTGCAGAACAGAGAGGAGGGATGCTAAGTAGAGGAACCTAAGGCTACCAACGTTCATCTCTCTTGTAACCGTCCTCAGCACAAACTTTAGCCTTTATGGCCTTGAGTTACTCAAGTGAGCAGCCAACAAACCCACACAGTGAATTCTGGCAGAGCAGTAGGGTTTTTAGGGTTTTCTCAGCTTAAGGCAAGAAATCTTTGTTGAAGATCTAACCAGTTTGAGGTTTCTTTCCTGACTTGTGACAGCAGTTCCTTATGCGGTAAGATCCTAATACCACCTGAGAAAGAGGCAGAGACCTATTTCCTTCAGGCTACTAGGCCTCTGTCCTTTTGGCCATACTAGTTTGGGCTGGAATTGAGTTGATAACCCAAAAGCTTCATCTCTGGGTGAGTTTTTCACTAGCCCCACAACCTGAAAGGTCTAAATGGTTTTACTGAAGGTGCAGCTGCCAGACATCTTGCAGGTGACAGGTTTTGGACTGCTAGGGTTTCTTCAGTGATAATGAAATCAGCCTTTCAAAGCCTGCATGTCCAATCATTGCTGCTTTGTTTCAGCCTCTTAACTTTGTTATGACTTTACTTTCCTAGGCTTCAAACAAAACTGATCTGAGACATCTTAAATCCTTTGTTCTTCTGGGAGTTCAAGGTTTCTTTTTCTTATTCTCTCAGTAGTCATTGAATTCTTTCATGTTGGAATAAATCCTGGGGGACTAGCTGGCTCAGGGTGATTGAAATTGATAATAGAATAAAAGACCTTTACCTCTAGGTTACTCTGGCCGGGGCAAGTCAACCCAGAGCTGCTGGGATCAGAAGTTGCCAACACCTGACTTTTGCCCAATAATCTGCATGAACATTACCATGGGAGTTTCAGCCTAGTCCCAGATACACTGGTGTCCCAGCTCAGATACAATCACCACAGATTGTCAAACCATGAGTGGAGCACCAATGAATGAATGACTGGAGGTGTCCTTACTGAGTCTCACTTGGGTTCTAGCAAAGGGTCAATGATACTGAGTTCTTGCTCACAGAAGCAGGGAAGTTATCGGTGTGGCCAGCTGATCTTTTAAACTTTGAGCACTAACAGGGACTTGGAAAATTGTTTCTGAGTCTGTTGTAGGCCAGGGCTGCTGCTCTGGGATATCTGAGAAGAGATACCTAATGGGGGAAGGTTCCATTCATTCCTCATTGCAGCAACTCCAGAGCAGATGTGTGGGATGTAGAACTTCTTGTCTGTTCAGGGTGAGCACTGGCTCATGACATTTGTGGCCAAGCACTACTAGTCTCTCCATTGGTGTCATCTTTTGCATGGCACACCTTCATTCTGCATCACCCATGCTCAGAGACAGGTTTGTTCACCAGAATAATTTCCTCTTCTCCATTGTTAGCAGGGTGTTAATGAGCAGAGAGAAGGGATTTAGCTTGAGTGCTAAATCCAACCCAATATCCCAAACTTTCTCATACTCCCTATCCAAGACAAAACCAAATAATGTTTCCCATTACCATTGCCCAAAAATGAACAAACTCTCACAAAAACTTTATGTCAGGCAGGGCTGAGGCCTTTCTGCTCAGCCCTTCTCCCTGATGTTGCCTAGTGTGAAGAAATAGCTCCAAGCCTTCTCTAAGTGCGAAAATCACAGTGTAGGGGAGCAGTAAACATTATGTTATGTTATCATCCTCTCCTGCTTTGTCACCTGGACTGACCTCCTCTGTTCTTTGTGGTAGTAGAAACAACATTTCAGTATGTATTTGTGTCTCCTTTCGGTGGCTGTCATCTCAGATGGAGCATCAGCTAGCTCATGGGGGAGGCAAGTGTGGAGAGCATCTGAGTTTCTGCCTGTGTCAAGTGGTTTGCTCTAGTGTTTGATCACAAAACCTCTAAATTTGTACTACCTACTAGGTTATCATCAGGTGCTAGGAGTACTCTGGGGTGCCTCTCTGTTTTCAGACATGGTCTAGTGGGCTGAGCAGGACTGTCTGTGATGAAGAGCAGTGGTGAAAGACCTCAGTTGGTCTGGGAAGTTAACAGCATGAGGATCCTTCTCTGGAGAATGACGATGGTGGAAACCATCCATGAGATTCTTATTTTCATGACCATGAGCCATGCCATAGCAATGCCAGTAGGTGTGATGAACTCTAAAAACATGGGCAATTCCTCCTCCACAGCTTTTTTTACATATGGCAGACCAATACAGCATGTCCTCAGGGCCAACTGCTTATTTGTTGGGATGGGTAGGAGAGGTTTGTTGTGCCTCTAGAGACAGCATTTTTTTTGTGGTGGACTGAAGGCTGTAACTAGACTCTCCTTACACAGGAACTTGGTGACAGAGCGCTCCCCCATCTGCTGATGCTAGGAGAGCAGGCCGTAGAGAGTTAGACTGGAGCGCTACAGTTTCTCTGTAGTCTGCAGAGTGCCTCTTGTGAGTAGTAGTCACCTTCCTCAGAAACCGCGTGCCTTGGGGGCCACCAAAGCCCTGGTCTCCACAGCTGGCTCCAAAGATTCCCTGTCTAACCTTACACTTGCATGACAGATAGTGAGCACTCCCTCCTCTCCACTGACCCAGCCAGCACTGGGATGCAGTGCAGTTGTCCCTGCATAGCCACGTACCACTTGTGTTGGCATCAGCATCTCATCCCCTTCCTCCTCCACACACATATCCCTCTCCTGATTTGCTGCTTTCTGTTGAAGGAGGATGCTCTCTCTAGCAAGAGGCTCTTTGTCCAACCTCTCCAGTGTAATTCTCTCCTGCTGGCCCAGCTCTGTTGTTCAGCTTAGTATTCTCTTTTCTTTTTTTTTTTTCCCTATCTCTTCTTCCCTCCCTACATTTTTTTGCTTGCAGCTGGTCTTGGAAACCTACAATGTCCCTGAGCTGTCAGCAGGAGTCAATTGCACTTTCGAAGACCTTTCAGAGATGGATGGCTTGGTGGTGGGCAGTCAGATCCAATGCATCTCACCAGCTGCCAAAGAGGTGCCCCAGATCATCACAGAGAACGGTGGGTATCCCATAGCTCCTCCATCTGCACCACTTCTCCCTCCTTTCCTCACCCCACACTCCTGTGTCTGTCCTGTTTTCTCCCAAAGTGGAGTTTGGGTCATGGGAGCCTGAGGACAGGGTATGCAAAGCACAGGGAGGAGGTGAGATGCTGTGCTGGTGATTGATGGTGGAGCATGATGGCAACATAACATAGTATGACTCGTGTGAATGTGTGTGAGTTTATGTGTGCACACGTGTGCAAGAGTTCAGCTGCAAAACCACTACCTGTGTTAAGGTGCTTGTATGTGTGATAGTAAATGTTTTCAGACTGCCACCAAGTGGCAGTTGCATATATCTAGCAAAGTCGAGATGGATGTGGGATATTCACTCACTTTTTACCCAGGCTAGTGTTACAGAACAGGTTGCCCAGAGAAGCTGTGGCTGCTCCTCCCTGGAAGTGTTCAAGGCCAGGTTGGATGAGGCTTTGAGCAACGTGGTCTAGTGGAAGGTGTCCCTGCTGATGGCAGGGGGAGTTGGAACTGGATGATCTTTAAGGTCCCTTCCAACCCAAACCATTCTGTGATTCTGTACAACCCAGGGAATGAGGCAGTACATGCTCTCAACATCCCATGCAGCAGCCAGAAGGTTCTTCAGATCTGAACAATCCTGTCTGTAATTTCATCCTGCTCCTCCCAGGTTTAGATCCATGTACTCAGTTCCTTGGCTCTGTCCCTGGCCCTTACAGCCTTCAGCTGTTCCAACTTTGTTACTGGCTCTCTCTCCCAAAGTGGTCCAGCACAGAAAAATATCTTGTCTCCAAGGATGGTCCCCCACCCACAACTTCCTGCCCTTTTTGGTTTCCTTTTTCTATTGACTTTTCTAGGTACTTTCAAGAGAACCTGTGGCTCTTTGCAGGGACTTAATACCAAAATGTCAGCCCTGCTGATCACCCCAAGAAGTACAGAGAGGATGTTGCCATTTTTGTTCTTGGTTTCTTGTGCAATTTTATTGTAAAGTTTGTCTCTGAGGATCCTAAGGTCACAGAAAATGAAGTGACAGACACTGTCCCCATCATTCTCCCCAAGCTGCACACAACTGTACATGCTCTCCAATGCAGTCCCAAAACAAGCCCCCAGAAGGCTATTATTATTTTCAGGTCCCATCAAGTTATCAGTGATGTTTGTCCACCAAGACAGATGCTAGAAACTATTTCCTTGGTAAGGACATCTGTCCTAGGCCAGGCTATAATCAACCAGCAAACAAAAATAGCAGTGGAAGCTGGAGGCAGGACAAGAGAGAAAGATTTCTGGAAACCAAGCATGGTTTCCAGAGTAGCTGGGCACCTGTATATCAACTTGCAGCAGCTGGTGCTCTACACCTCTGCAAAGACCAAGTCCTCCATGCATAGTGCCAGAAGCTGGATTTGAACCAAAGGATATGTGGCTCTGTAACACATCTGATCCCTGGAACCATCCAATCCTCACATCCTGTTTTAAAATATATGCAAGACAATGGCAAAGTTGTTAAATACGAAGCGGTTAACAGAGCTGTCAAAGCCGGCGGCAGCAGATGGGCAGCAGAGTCGAACACTGGCAGCAAAATATGTTTAGTGAAGTGTGTGGGGGGTGTGTGTGTCTGTGTGCCCGTGTAGATGTAGGTGGGTGAGTGTGCATGAAGGCAGAAGCTGCCACAAATTGTCAACTTTGCTTTGATCTGATTGATTAATGGATCTTTCAGGTGAGAAGGAAAATAATAGAGGTGAAAAGGTCAGCCAGGTTGAAGTCTTGAATTAAACATGGGATCCCCTCCCCACCAAATTACTGCAATTACTGCACCCACTCATTACCCACACCTGATGGGCTCTGGTGAGAGCTTTTGGCATTGTAAGAAGAGGTGACAGTTGACTGCCCAGCATGGGAGCAGTGGGAGAGGGAATGAGAAGATGGTGTGTTGGAGCTGAGGTGCAGGCTTTGCTGTAGATAGCTCTGCTATGGAAATGGATTAGTCCTTCTGGAATTGTAGTGGCTTGTGGATATTCCTCACATTGAGCTGGGTTCTTTGGAGCCAAGGCTTGGGTGAATGGACCTTGGGGTGAATGGGGTAAGTCAACCTGGAGGAACTGTTCATGTGGGAATCTCCCTTTTCATCAGCATTTCCCAGGCTGTAGATAGAGAGCCTGTACCCTGTCCCCACTGATATGGTATCTCTCCTCCTTGCTCATTCCTCCATCCTGTATTATCAAGGTATAACCTCTCTTTGGGGGCAGGATCTGGAGGTGGTCTTTTTCAGGCATGGTTGTCCTGGGTATTGGGACCTATTCAGAGATATTAAATAATGAGGGTGAGGAGAAAGTAGATCTTTCTTTATCGCCTTAGGAAGGTATATTTGTCCTTCAGACAATGAATATACAGGCCACCAATGTTTGGGGCCAGCAGTCAAATCTTCTACAGGCCCTTTCCTTCTGGGGACGTGAAGAGAACCTGAAGCAATGAAGAACTGTAAGGACATTACTCCATTTTAATGCCCTCCTAATTCCAGACATCTACATCCTCTCTTTGAGCTTAACTTTCCTACTTGATGAATTCAGTTACCATAGTTTTGAAATCAGTGAGGAATGCTCTAGACCTGTTGTCATCCAGCCCAGACTCTGCTCTCATATATAATTTCCAGTAATGAAGACATACTCTATCACCTGAGTACCATGAGAGAGGGAGATGTATATGCTGAAGAACTTGGCTCTGAAAGGATTTTATTGACCTTCCTATATCTATTGAGGATAGACTAGCCAAGGTACTGTAAGATAGCTCCAGGTTCAGCCTGGTGGCATGGCCAATAGGGCTTAACTAGGCTAAGAAAGCAGTCACACACTGATGCATCTATTTTTTCCCCAGGAGACCATCACATTGTCCAGCTTCAGCTCAAGTCCAAGGAAACGGGTGTGACCTTTGCCAGTACCAGCTTTGTCTTCTACAACTGCAGCGTCCACAACTCGTATGTTCATTTCCTTTGATATCTGCTTTCCACCCCACCCTTAGATCTGCCACAGAACCCACTGCTGACTGGGTCACCTGTCCCTCAGGAAGCTGGTTAGGTGTAGAGGTGACCAGGGGTCAGGGTGTGACCAGTGAGAAAAGGTCACTTGAGTGATGGTCAGCATGGTGGGCTCTCTCCTGGGAAGACCAAGAGAGTCTTGGTGACCATTTGTTCCGCTGATGAGCATCC